TCAAATTAATATAAAGTGTGTTTGCTGTATATGTAAGAATAAGTTAAGTTCGGGTTTTTTGTTGTTGTAAGATATGACCAAACATTTAGTAAAATTTTTGAAGGATGTCTTTCTCATTATATCAACTTTTTATTTTTAACTTGAAGAATAGCTTCTGTAGTACTGAATATGATTTGATGTTCTTTCCTTTCCAAGCTGCCAGTTTGAGGTGTTGGTATCCACCTAGTGGTGATAAATGTGTCATTGCCTTCTCATAATAAAGTGATCTAATAATGCAGACTGGAAACACGGAATTTGTGTATTTTGTATTATACCTGCACGTTGTAAACACTCTGATACGAAGTAAAACAACAACAATATTCAGATGTGGAATGTTTTTATTGATTGATTAAAACTCAAAATTGAATTCATAAACTGCATTTCAATCACACAATTTGTCTTTTCAAACCAATGTGACAAAAGAAAGAAGACAGAATACTCAAGAGCAGCTTGAGTTACTTCAGACACTTGACCTGTTCAACCAAAGCCTTTACTATTACATTAAAACTTAAGAATAACCTCTTCATTTAACAGTTATTAAGAATCATTAATGTACTAGAGTAAGGGTTATGGCTTGAGCAGGCGTTCATGTGCAGTTTACAAATCGGAAACTTGTTTTTCCGATGTGTCTGATACCACATGACTGTACGTTTGTGGTTTGTATGATCGTGATTGGCTTTTTTTTGGACAGTTTATATGTCGTTTTCGTGGGTCCTCAACCAATGAACTCTGAATCTATGGAGAATTATTTTTTTTACCAAGAATGACACAAGCAGTCCAAACTGCTTTAAAGTGTCACAACCATAGACTGTGGTCACAACAAGAAGTTGGAGCACATCGTGCAGCCTACATTTGATGTTACACGAGGCTTACTGTCTGTTTCCAGTAGGTGGCGTCATTACAAACATTAATTATTGGCATGTAAATATCTTTTCACATACAAGCTGCATCTCTGACGTATTCTATTTTGATATATCTCTGTGAACAGACACGATAGGACCTGGAGAAATGCCAAATCCAGATATACACCTGTTCAATATACATATATCCTAAAATTATATATTTTTTTTCAGATCTTCTCACATATTAGTTGCATCTTTGACAGATTCTATTCTGAGATACTGATGTAAAACCAGATACCTTACAGATACAATTTTGTATGTTTATTGAATCTTTAATATTCGGAATAATCAAAAAAAAAACAGAAAGATTGAAATGTTAAAGAATATTTTAACAGTTTTTCCTAGACTGTCATGGACTGATAACTGAATTCTATTGGTTGGTGACTTTTTATTGCAAGTCCTTATGTCATCCACAAAAACACGACTTGCACAACATTGTTAGTAGGTTAAAAATACATTCCCTCTCCCATGGGTGTTGCTCCTATTCATCGGTGAAATGAAACTTAACAACCTTATAAAACAAATCACATGGGAGCGGCTGCAGCCATTTCAGTGTGGCACACCCACTGAATGTTTACTTTAGCAGAAACAAAACTGTTAGGCAGAGCTGCCGTGGAAGAGCAGGGGACTGAGAAACTCGAACAAATTCCCAACTACATAATCTTATCTACCAAACAGTCAAGCAGGGAGATACGAAGAGGATACTGAGGACTTTTTTTCAGGATTGAATTTTATTTAAGAACACTTAATCAGCACTTCCTGCTTTGAAAACATGTCCGACAATCTGCCCAAGGGCCGCCACGTCGTCTACTGCGACATGTGTACAGAGGATAACAAACAACCAGCACGGAAGACCTGCATGAAATGTGAGATCTCCATGTGTGTCCAGCATCTCCAGGCTCATCTGACCACTCCTGTGTTACTGCAGACTCATCCTCTGACGGAGCCTATAGCCTCAGGAAATGGAGGTTTAGTTGTAACCACTAAATGCCCCCAACATGGCAAACTGCTTGAGTACTACTGCTTGGACGACTTCACCTGTGTGTGTGTTTCCTGTGCAATTGAGGACCAGCACCGCCTACACAATATGAAGACCTTCTCCACAGCCCACAAAGAGCTTCTGGAAAAGGTCCAAGCTGAGCAGCAGGCCTTACTGGCGAAGGCTGATGGTGCAAATACCAGTCTGGAAAAGTGGGAGAAGAATGAAAGAGAAAAACTGGGTCGCTCCAGTGTTCGTCTCATTGAGGCTGTGACTAACCTGCGTGACCTTGCCTTGACCAGGGTCCAGAGTTCGGTCTCTGCTCGTATGGTGTCCGTCAAAACCAGCAAGAGCAGCTTACAAGCAGCAAAGAGCGAGGAGGACGCCTTCAGATTCCTGCAGATGTATTCTCAGGTGCATCAGGATTTGGAGAATGCAAAGGCTGTGGATTTGAGAAAAGGGTTGGAGCCTGGCAGTGATCGCGACAAACTGGTTGAAGAGATAACACAGAGAGGTGAAAAAATGATGGAGCAGGTGAGCAACTTCTGGGGATCCCTGTTGACTCATGTTGACCCAGAGACCCAGCAGGAGATCAGTGCAGTTAGGTCAAACCTGTACTTTGACTCAAATACTTTGGGCCCAGGCATGACGCTGTCCAAAGACCGCAGGAAGGTCTTCAACAGTGGTCAGCTGGAGAAAAAGATATTACTCATCCAGGGTATGTCTTCACAGTTAATAATAGCTACAGATGGAGAATAAGCCTCTCCAAAGACTGTGACTGGACCATTGGATTATGTGACAAAACGTATGCAATAAATTTGCAACGTGGAGACATCTTTGGACTGTGCTGGAAAGGTAACAAGCTGAGCTCCCTCACAACAAGGATCTTGAGGTTGAAAATACGCTTCCAGTGCAGCTTAATAAAAGAGCCATGAATATGAGGTCTATACAAAATGAGCCCAACAGAGATACAGGTCAAAGGGTTTCCACTCAGGTAATCAGCCATTGTGGTGAAGATGTGGGTGAACAAATAGCCCGTCCAGAAAAAGTGGAAGTCATATGGAGCTGTCCTAACTCGTTATCCTTTTACAATCTGATCGGCCAATACCAGAGAAGAAAAATAGTCACATTAACCATCGGGTCCACTAACCAGGACCTAACTCCTTTTGTTTGCTTGGAAATGGAGTCACAAGATAGCGGAGTTAGTTCCTTTGCATTTGGATCATATGCTCAACAACAGCAGCAGTGGATATGCTCATGTGGGAGGGTAAACGTCAGGAATCAAAATCCATACAGTTATGGAGGCGGCTATGGCAAGATGTCTTCCCCAAACACCTGTGCTTGTGGAAAAGTTATTGGTGTCTCCAACATCGCTGAGGTGCTTTGTGAACTTTTCTAAAACACAGCACAATCTCTCTGGACCCACATCAACACATTTTCTTTTACACATTGTTGTTCATATATTATTTCTTTCCCAACATGATCAGAATATTGCTTTTCCTTTGCTTTTTGGTTGAATATAAATGCCAAACTGTTTGAAATGGACCATTGGTTTATGTGACAGTCTGCAAATAACTTGATGGATGGACATGTCTGTGCTTCTTGGTTTGAGGATATCTAGCTCAGCTTTCTCATGACACAGTAGGATCATTGTTGTGATGCATCAATCAGTTCACAAGGTTTTTAGCTTTTTGGTTGCAGCAAATCATCAAGAACAAAATGGAGAAACAACAAAAGATGGGAGTTTACTTAGACCTGCGGCTTCCTCGCAGTCCTCCATCACCAGAACTGGACAGCATTATGAGGACGAACACTCAAAATGAGTCTCAACCACTTAGACCTGGTTCAACTAGAAAAGGAAATTGGACCAGACTCAAGTTAGAAGGGAGCCAAGGAAGCATTCAAAGATGGACTGTACCAGTTTAACTTTCCTTCGGAGCAACTACTCATGATTCGTGCATTACAAAGGTTTTGTTATTAATAAGCAGAATTTTCTCCCCCAAAGTAATATGACCCTTTTTCTAATGTTGAATCAACGTACAAGGCTAATTCATGCAAGGCTATAAATCTCTACCATGATTGCTTGTTTCTTGAATTCATATGATGAGCATGAATCTCATTTACTGTGTTAAGCTGCTTTCAAATTAATATAAAGTGTGTTTGCTGTATATGTAAGAATAAGTCAAGTTCGGGTTTTTTGTTGTTGTAAGATATGACCAAACATTTAGTAACATTTTTGAAGGATGTCTTTCTCATTATATCAACTTTTTATTTTTCACTTGAAGAATAGCTTCTGTAGTACTGAATATGATTTGATGTTCTTTCCTTTCCAAGCTGCCAGTTTGAGGTGTTGGTCTCCACCTAGTGGTGATAAATGTGTCATTGCCTTCTCATAATAAAGTGATCTTCTAATGCAGACTGGCAACAAGGAATTTGTGATTTTTGTATTATACCTGCACGTTGTAAACACTCTGATACGAAGTAAAACAACAATATTCAGATGTGGAATGTTTTTATTGATTGATTAAAACTCAAAATTGAATTCATGAACTTCATTTCAATCACACAATTTGTCTTTTCAAACCAATGTGACAAAAGAAAGAAGACAGAATACTCAAGAGCAGCTTGAGTTACTTCAGACACTTGACCTGTTCAACCAAAGCCTTTACTATTACATTAAAACTTAAGAATAACCTCTTCATTTAACAGCTATTAAAAATCATAAATGTACTGGATGTGCACGTTACTAAAATACACCCAACAACCTTTTTATTATTGACCAAGAGCAGCAAGAACCAAAGAATAGAGACGCTGCCTGTATTATTAAATATTGTAACACATTGCTATGATGTCAGTATTTCCTCACTGTGTACTGGAAGGTACTAGTAATCTAAATCAGCATATACTGGTCCGTGTGTCCTTTTTCTTATATTAAATTCACCCTCTTGTGAAAGCAAAGTAACAGTAAGAGTTTCTGGAAATGTTTGACACTAGTTACCAAACATTGATGAAAAATAAAATAAAATAATAAATGATTAAAGTGCAAAACGTACTGAGCAATGGAATGATAACATCTCTAAAAATTATATCTATGACCCTAACTAGCTACAGCTGCACATATTGTCAGGCTTGTTCATAATTTAAGACTCTATAGTTTTATATGTGGGTAAGGAAGGCTAACGATGCATAGAAACATAAGTAGACACTGTTTTAGAGGCCGCTGCAGATTTGCATACATGTAAAAAGACTGACTGAAGGCCTTGCATTGGGATAGTGACAGAGCAGAGACTCATGCAGGGTCACCAGCTCATGCCTTAATGTCCGGAGACACAATGAAACACTCTGTGGCTTGTATGAAAAAAGTTACATTTCACATGTTAAGTAATTCAGATTTTGTGCAGAAAACTCTCAACTTAAAAATCATTCTAATAAAATTGCATTGAAAACTTTAAATCTATAAACCTCCACCATGAAGGAAAAAAAAGGAAGAAATTGAAGTATAAATGAAGACGTCTGGTCACTGTTGCAGATTCATCCTTCCATCTGAAGCCGGATTAAGCCCGAAGGATTCAGCTGTCATTGCCGAAGACAGTGTTGAGCTGTTGTGTGACCCTGATGAAGGTGGTCCTGCGGCTCAGTTCCTTTAGCTTTCCCGCCCCTACATAGGTGCAGGTAGAGCGGACCCCACCCAGGATGTCTCGTATTGTCACATCCACCGGACCTTTGTAAGGCACTTCCACTGTCTTCCCCTCCGATGCTCTGGAAGTGAAAAACATAGAGAACAAGAGGATTTAAGGATTATTACTGACTTCAAAACACAAACATTACAGGAAGACTATTCAAAAATAAAATAATAAAATAAAAGTATCTTACCTGTACTCAGCCACGCCCCCTGCATGTTTCTTCATCGCTGTGTCGGAGCTCATACCGTAGAACAGCTTGTACTTCTTGCCGCTCTTCTCGATAACTTCACCCCCGCATTCTGAATGGCCCGCGAGCATACCGCCCAGCATCACAAAGTCCGCTCCAGCGCCTGAGTCCCACAGAGAAGAATAAAGAAGATGAGCAGTTTCCTTTTTTTTATGACAGGGCGATTTTTTTTTTTTTTTTTTTTACTGTGTTTGGAATTTTGAAATTGAACACTTACCAAAAGCCTTTGAGACATCTCCTGGGCAAGTACACCCCCCATCCTGTGTGGAAGAGAAGACACAAATCAGAACAATTACACTGATCCCACAGGGTGATGGTGGTGCAGTATGGAGGCCATGGTCCTCCCAGGTTCTAATCCAGCCTGTGGCTCCTTTCCCGCATGTCATTCCCAACTCTCTCTCTCTCCCTGATTTGCAACTCTATCCACTGTCTTATCTCTCCATTTAAGGCGAAAAAAGCCTAAAAATAAATCTTGGAAGAAAAAAAAGGACACTTAGAAAGAGAAAACAGGAAGGAATTAAATTATGACCTTCAATATGGGCATTGTTATTGTTAATCGCTGCGTCTTTAAAGCAAAGAGTCACTCACAGAGATGATGTGGCCACCCAAGCCATGGGCTGCGTCTGCACACTCGATCACAGCGCTGAGCTGGGGGTATCCCACACCTGTCTTCTTGCGGGTGGTACACACAGAGCCTGTTGAGGAAGACACAGATAGACTTTTCAAGATTTGTAGTCTGCAGTCCTTATTTTGAAAACAGGAAGCGGCATTTCTTTGATGTATATGTGCAAAGTGATTACTGCTTGAAAGTATCCATCCACAGAAACAGAGACACGGTTTATGATCTGAACATCCTGACAGAGTGTTAAGATAAAAACTGGAGTGTATTTAAAATATCAGCGTTGACGTGTTTAAAATGTAACACTCTGATTACCTGGTCCGATGCCAACTTTGATGATGTCAGCACCAGCCAGGATCAACTCTTCTACCATCTCTCCTGTCACCACATTTCCTGCCTGGGCAAGAAGAAGAAGAAAATCTTCATTTCCTGTTTCAGCCCCACATGCCATACTTCAAAAGGCACACGCACATCTACCCACCATTATAGTGTGCGAGGGGAACTTCTGCCTCACGTCTTTGACAAAGTGAACAAAGTGTTCGGAGTAGCCGTTAGCCACGTCTACACAGATGTACTGCAGCTGTGGCACCGCCGCCAAGATGGCTGAGATCCTGTCAAAGTCGCCGTCGCCGGTACCTGTGCTGACCGCCACGTTCTGGAGGGAACAGAGACAAGAGAGTGTTCAAACAATGAATCCAATTTTAAAGCAGAGTGATACTAATAATAAAGTACAAGTTAAATACCTTCACGCAATCGGGATTCTTGGCGGCAAACTCCACCCAATCATCCACGGAGTAATGTTTGTGAACCGTGGTGAAGAGAGTGAACTGGAGGAGGACATGACACATTCTGGTTCAGATTGACGTCTGCGGAGGGCACGATTACATCCAAAGGCCACCTGGGGCATCTTTTATAAATGTTAATTAATCACAATATACACTGATGGTTCAAAAAAAAACAAAAAAAAGGCTAAATCAAACAATCCATGAGGAGCGTCTTAAAAAGCCATGAGGACCCCGTCTTAAGACCTACAGCTTGTGGCCTTAATTATCTTTGTAAGTATGTTGAATAAAAAAAAATGCTACACATTATCCACTCATGCTACTCCTGGCATGTGGGGAAAGGCAACCAACTGTTTTGAATCTGAAGGAGAAGAGAAAAAGTACGGACTCTCCTCCCTATCTGCCTGTTATACAAAATAAAAAATATTAAAGTATCAGGCATGTCGGTGCTCACTGCTACGGTTTACTTTAAGGATACTGTATTCAACCGTTACCACCTGATAAAACAACTACCTAACCAAGTGTTTGAACATAGTTGTGAAATTATAGAACCATGAATAAAGAGTCAACCCCTGTTTGCTGATGATATATGAAGCGTTTTCATAAATCTCCCATGTCAAGCACAACCTACCTGATGCAGAGCCAAGGCCATCTCAAAGGTCCCCACAGTGTCCATGTTAGCAGCAACGATGGGGATCCCTCTGTAGGTGCCTTTGGAGTTCCTGAAAGTGAAGCTCCTCATTAGGTCCACCTGGTCGAGGTGAAGACAACGTGAGATTAGTGTATAGGTATGCAATTACAGAAAAAACAGCTTATAAATTTGGTATCAGGGCCACTATTTGTATCCTCCAATCAGCTGGTGAGGTTTGGATAAATACCATATGCCAGATGAGGATGTGTGCTCGCTCAGATCTGTGTGTACTATATAAGTCAGTCTGGAACCAAAACCCACCTCGCTCCTGGACTTGAGTGTGCTTCTCTTTGGACGCAGGAGCACGTCCTTAAAGTCCAGCTTGATGTCATTCTCAATGCGAGGCATTTTTGGAAAAACAGGATCTACAGGTTGTGTGAGTAAAAAAAAAAAAAGTGGAATGAAGCTGTGAAGAAAAACAAACAAACAAACAAAGAAAGGTAAGATGTCATAATTTCTGCTTTAATGGTTTGAGAATTGTCTATCTACCTTCCTTATCCTTCATAAACAAATGGTCATGAATGATAGACATTACATGCAGTGGGATTTGGGGTCTGGGGTCAGCTTTAACAATTACTGCTGTGGGTACATGTAATAACACCAGGATGACAGTGCTATAGCTGATCAGAACAGCAGCGCTTACTTAACCCCCACGCCATAATTCAAGGTTACTATCGGTTAAAATGACACAAATGTAATCCCTTTGATGAGCACTGCAGTCTGCCTATGTTAGCATACATAACCATGTCGTCAACTTCTGAATTATAAGATAAAGAAAAAGTCTTTACCTTCAGGGACGCGTGAATGAGTTTTTCTGTTCCGCTGTTTCCTTTTTTTTTTTTTTTTTTGGTTTTGGACGCGGGAAATGTTTTAGGGGCGGACACCAACTAACAGTCTTTTTGTAGTTTTTTAAGGGCTCAAACTAGTTAGGGACACGCAGGTGAGAACTACAAATCCGAAATTCGCTTTACGCCACGCTGCGCTGTTGTCGTAATGATTGTTTTAAGGTATTCAGGAAATATAGCTCTTGTTTTTTTTTTTTTTTGCTCTGCTGTGGCCCACACTCACGTCGACGTCAGATAATTAGCGTGTAGGTTATGAGCTCTTTCGATGATTCGTCAAGAAATCACAAAGTCCGACAACACGTCCGAGCGGAACCGTTAACATCCAGAATAAAGAGGGGGTGGGATTTACCGAGAAACACCGGAAACACCCAGTGATGTTTGGAAGTGAAGGCTTTGTCAACAAAATACTGCATTATTACTGCATCACAATCTTCAAACTAAACCAGCTCCAGTGCGTTTGATAAAGGAACAAAAAGAAAGATGCTTATTAAAGTAAAGGTAACGTAAAGCAAGTATATATGCTGAACACTTATCATTGTAGCCAGCCTGAAGTAAAACAAAAAAAAAACCTGAAAATGTTTTTATTGTCTCAGACACTCACAGGAAAAGAGATAGAGATTGACATAGAGCCCACAGATAAGGTAGAGTATAATATTTTTATATTTCTTGCATGTTTGCTTTCTTTAAGTTCATTTAACCAATGTTTTTATTTATTTTTTATTTTTTACAAATATTTCCATCCAGGTGGAGCGGATTAAAGAGAGAGTGGAAGAGAAAGAAGGGATCCCTCCGCAGCAGCAGAGGTTGATCTACAGTGGGAAACAGATGTAAGTCTGAAATGTCTTTTTCCTGGGGGGGATTTTCCAGAATACATACAGCTTAAAACACAAGAAACATAAAAAAAACACTCAAAAAATATTTAAAAAACCCCTTTTTTTCTGCTATCATTTGCATATAATCAATCAATCATACAAACTTTATTTATATAGCACCTTTCAGACAAATTAAATTGCAGGTCAAAGTGCTTAACAAGAGTGCCGAAAAGTTATTGACAAAAAGTAGTTCATAAAATCATTGAGAGACTAATGCACACCATTATTTTATTTTTTATTGTTTCTTTTGTCTTACAGTTCGCGTGTGGGGTTTCGGTACGTTCTTTCCCACACCGCTAATGTTCACAGTCATTTCTGTGTCTACCTACTGTGGATGTTTTGGTTCAAATGTGCTGTTGTGCCATCTAATTGCAATGTGAACATGCATCCAACAAAAATCAATAAAAATAATTTTTCAAATTGAGAGACTAATGCACACCAATAAGAATTAAAAAAAAAATATATATATATGTATAAAAATAAAATGCAATAAAATACAACACATAAAAGCAACAAGATATTAAAATAAATACATAAGAGGAAAATATTTAAAATTGTCGTCGGATAAAAAAGATAATATAGTAATGTTAAGATTTGAATTGATATAAAACACTATATAAAAGCCAGACTGAATAAATGAGTTTTAAGACTGCGTTTAAAAATCTCGATATTCTGGGCTCCTCTCAGACCCTCAGGAAGGTTGTTAGAAAGTTTTTATGCAATCGGCAGGATCTGCACCAGAATAACCTCTTGTGTCAGATGATTTTTTTTATTTAACTGGTATGGCTTTCTGTTTTTCAGAGCAGTGATTCATGCTGTCTTACATGTTCTCACCTGTATTCCCATTTTGTCTCCGTTCTCAGGAACGATGAGAAAACTGCGGCAGACTACAAAATCCAAGGAGGCTCCGTTCTCCATCTGGTACTAGCTCTGCGAGGAGGGCAGGCTCCCCACTTTCCCAGAAGTCTGTGCTCAGACCCGGCTGTGTAGCCATTACTTGAAAACATGCCTTTTGCCTTTTTCGGATGCCGACAGGAAGCAGATACGCCGAAGACACACAGTTTACAAGGCTGCTGAGTCGCCTCTTGGCACTGTTGGGTTACACAGAGCCGTTGGTAGAAAGAGTTAGATCAGGTTCTGCTTGCTTAAGCCACTTTTTCTACTGTTGGCTTGAAACACTCCCCTCCCTATGTAACACTGCCCTACAGAGCCTTTTTGTGTTTAAGCTTCCATGGCAGAAAGGTCACAGTTACTGTCTGAAAGATTGACAACAAAATAGTTGTTGGAGAAGTTACTGTAGGCCACTCAAGCCATTCTGTCTTTTGACGGTTTCGCAAGTGAGCACAGAGGTTGTCTTTGCTCCCCTGATAATCAATCAGAGATAACTGTAGCTCAAAAAAGACCCTTTAGACACCAACCCTTTAATTTAAGTCTTTGCTGTCAGAGTCTTTTCAGTTTCTTCTTTCTATTCTTCACAAATTACTCCAATTAAGGCGTAGACTACTAACATTGAATGAGCGTCAATGTTTCTCAGTTTGATTGTAAAAGATGGACAAGTGCTTATTTAAAAAATATGGTCGACATTCGCAATAATGAAGTATTAACTTGCTGTGTGAAACTTTGATGTGAAGATTGATACCACACAGACATTTGTATGAGAAATGCTAATGGCTATATACACCCTGGCTAGTTGAGAAGCTAAGAAGCTAAATCCTCTTTGACACCACTTATAAACTTCACTTATTAAGAATTTAAATCGTGTTTGTTTATCTGTATGTAAACCAAAGTTTGAATTACATTTGGTAGCTTTACAGACATATATTGGCTTCACAAATATTCAGTGGAGACTCCTGGATGTTATTGATCCCAGCCAGGAAATATGTCGCGTTCCATATTTTCTCGAGTTTCCAAGTCGTAATTACGACTTCAGGGGGCGTTGCAGTCGACACTTCTGTAAGGGAACTCGGAATGTCCGACTTCCGAGATCAACTGGAACGCAGATATGCTGCGTTCCAGTTGAATTCCGATTTCCCAGTCGGAAAAAAAAGGAAGCCGAGTTCAGATCCAATACGGCTGCTACGTGCATCGAAAGGGATGTTTTAAGCTGTCGAGTTTATTAGCAGCTAAGTCGTCTTTTTGTGTAATTAAATCAATCAAAACGATGGTATCGTGCGAGTTCTCTCTGTGGAGGTGTTTTCATGTTGTTTTCTGTCAGAAACTATCACAGTGTTATCGTCTGGTATTAGCTAACAAAACAATGGTACTCCTGGAGGCGTCCGTGTTGCTTTTCTGACTTGCAACTGGAACGCAGAAAAACTCGGGTGTGACGTCATTCAGTTCCGAGTTCCGAGTTAATGCCACGTTCCATTTAACTCGGAAGTCGGAAATTCCGAGTTCCGAGGTAAATGGAACGCGGCATTAACTCGGAACTGGGAATGACGTCAGAATACACGCTATGCTAGAAGAACGACGGTGTACATTATTAGAAAATGCGTTATTCAATTTCTTATGAATTAAATTAATTCATAACGTTTTGATTTTGTGCTAACCGCACGCGCTACTGTTTTGAAGACGAGAGATAAGCCTGCTGTGGATCACCCTCGATGTGTACTTGATGCTGTGGATCATTGTGTCACTACAATAAAATTGAAGTTCATGACGAAACCGACTCACTTTTGCTGATCTATATTCCTCATTAAATGTGTAAATATTTTGTATACAGTTGCACAAAAGAGGCACAAAAATAAATCCACGCATCTCCTTTTAATTCTTGTCACACTCACCATCAATATGTACATTTACATTTTTACACCGAAAGAGATGAGAGTTTGGCTTTCTGTTTAGTACGTACACAGCATTAGAGACTATTGTGTACACACAATGATATACCAGCATGGTCAGATTACTTCAGTGCCGTAATGTTTAGCAAGGAGAAAAGTCACTCACAGTAGATTAATGATAAACATGGTGGCTGACAGCATTGTTTTACAACATATTTAAGGCCTGTTTTGGTCTGAATTAAAACAAGAAATGAGACTCAAGCAGCTAGAAAGAAACAAAACACACCAGCAAAGTTGAACTTTTAGATTTCTGGTATAGTGCACAGGCGGGAAGATCCGATTTTGTCTCATCTGTTTAAAGTCAAACTTAGCAGAAAAACCTATTCTACAAAAACAGTTGTTTTCTAAATCAGAGGTAGACACAGCTTTAGGCCTAAGTTAGCAAAAGTCATTGTCAAAAATGGGGAAAATGTCTTCTCATTGTTTAACAGTCATAACAAGAATGACATTCATTGACATGATCACACATTGAATAAAAGAAAAAGACAAGGTGTACTTGTTTTAAATATATATTTGAATGAGGCCCTGAAGTACAGATGCAAACATTAGTCAGTGGTTTTTATTAACTGTGAGACAAAATACAGTCTGTCATGATGTGAATATCTACACAATAACCTTACAGGCACAAATAAACAATTTCTGTACTCATAAGACATCCAAGACACCCTGTTCCTCTTAACGTTTGACAAGAGAAATCTAAACAATACTGGCCTTTCTTCATGACACTTTCTTAAAGATTATCAGGGGCTATCTTGTTGGATCGAGTCTCCTGAGGAAATAAATCTGTAAACGCACCGCCTACAGACTTTTAGCAGAGAGGCAAATCAGTCGGATGAGTTGAGTTTTCATTGCCCGGAGGTTTAAGGTAGTGTGTGTCAGGAGAAGGCAGTGGGGATGCCCTGAGACACCCTGAGATTATAGAAAGACACAAGAGTACGCAGTGTGTGTGTGTGTGTGTGCAGGAGTGCTGTTATGACCACGTACAGCATACATGATGTAGATACATTACTTTAAACAGATGACACAATGGATTCATTCATGGGTGCATGTTCAGTTTTTCTTGCTAGTGCCTCTACTAACATTGCACTAAAATAGCTTCTTGTGAAATTGATGAATAAACTTTTTTTTTCTTTAAAAGTAAAGCTCTATTTTTTTTCCTAAATTAGTAAAAATAAAAAAAAAAATAAAACAGCTAGATGGCAAGATACACAACTGTTAGTCACACAGGCATTCACACATGTCGGTGCAGGGGTTTTGCACTTTTTCAATGCAAATGTGGCGAAATCTGTCACGTCTTGCCGATTTTATCCTCTCTATAGTCATTTATGTTATTGCAGATCAAACCGTTTGCTAAAGTGTAGTGTCCTTACAAGTATCCATAACTCAAAGTTGGCAATAAAAACGCACACTTTTTTTTTGTTGCTTCCATAAACATTAAAAACTGCTTCAAAAGTACAAGGACTTTGCGCCACGCAAGACAAGACAGAGCTGCCACGGCACCAAAATACAGAAAGTATTCTAATTAAGGCAATTATCAGTGAGACTGTGCACCTTCCAGAGATACAAAGCTCAGATCACACATCCGCTTCAGGTGTACACCTCTGTGGGTTGCAAGATTAAAAAAAAAAAAAAAAAAAAAAAAGCCCAGATGTAAATGATATTGAATAGAAAAAAAAATATCAACAAAACTAGAATTAACATATTTAAAAACTAAAATAACACCAAAGGCAAATGATATAAACAATTATGACAATTATGTATTTATATATAAAAATAAGAGGAACATTTTGGAATCACAGTCATGGTCAAAACAAAACACACTCTTAAGTATGCTTCAAGGACATGAAATGACTTGATCTGAATGTGATTCTCTGCCTCGACCAATCAAAATACAGCTTTGGTGTTGAATGGATGCAACGTTTTACAACAACAACAAATGAAAAAAAAAGGAGAAAAAAAAGGTTTGCGCAGCCATCACAGTAAGAGTCTTTTAATAAAAATGAAAATAATACTAAAAAAAAGTTGACGCTCTTACAGCAGGAGTGCGCAGGGAATGTGTGGCAGGAGAGGGATTATGACGACGATGATGAAGAAGAGTAAATGGTCAAATGTGTTTGTTTTAGCATGTTTGAGGACCTTTGAAGCTGCTCGCAAACTCGAAAGACCTCAAATAAAAACATTTCAAGGTCCTATTACTCTAAACATCTCACGCTAAATATTTGGCAGACGATGATTGATAAAAGGCTCAAATCGAAATAAAAACATCAGAGACAAAGTTTGGGTGCACAGGTGTTGATCAGCAAATCCACTTTGATATGTTTGCAGGTGTGTTTTGAGTGTGCGCGCAAACAGGTGCAACCACACATGGCTGTTTTCTTTTTCTTTTTTTTGGGGGGGGGGGGGATGAAAGATGTGCGTTTTAGCAGTCCGCTGATTTATGGTTTTCTCCGTCCTCCTTGGACAGAGGAGACCTTGCTTCCTTCATTTCCTCTCCTTCCTCTGCACTTTCACTGCTACTTCCCATGTCGGGGTAAACCACCACACAGAACTTCTGGCCCAGGTACGTCATTTTATCTGGAAGGATAAAGAAAGAGGGAAGTTTAGGCCGTGCTGTTAATCAATTTTATATTTAGTAGTCTGATTCTTGAGAACATTGCTTGATTATTTTGCTATCTCAAGACAAAGCTAGTTTTCTCACCAAAAATTAGGCCAAGGTATATATAGCTGGATATATATAGCTTAGCTTAACTTAGCTTAGCAAAAGGATCGGGGTGGTGGGGGGTTTACATGGGGTGGTTAGTTTTAAAATATGCTTACCAGCAAGAAAAGCAAATGGCAGACATATTTTTAATCTTTGCACTGTGACCTAACTCTGCTAATATTCTTTATGCTAAGCTAAGCTATGTCTATCTCTTGGTAAGGCAGTAAATACCACACTCTGAACTTCAATCAAATGTCAAATATAATCAAACTTGTCATGAGCCAACTTACCAACAAAGGCATCGAAGCAATGTGGCTTGTTGTCCCAGTAGACTCCCAGGAAATAAACGGGAACGCCGGTCAGCATGATGGCCAGGCCGATGCCACACACCACGGGTTCAGAGTAAAGGGAGAAGATAAGCAGGAAGGCCCAGAAGATGAGGTAAATAACCGGCCAAATCAGGCTGATCTGGGGAGAGAACAAATCAACAACGCATTACAATCACGCAGAGAGGGAGATATGAATGTGAGGCAGTAATTATTCAATTGATCCTTTTCTATTTTATTAGTCTTTACTGTCTGACAGTTCACCCTTCCCAACACTAGAGTGCAGCGCTAGATGGCAGTTATAGAGAAGTTTATGGCTTAATGACTAAAATAAAGCAGAATTACTGCATAGTATGAGTTTCTTCTTTCACTTGGACTATTTTTAAGTCACAGTTTTAAACTACCAGGGTCCATAGAATCTATTTTTTGGACCGGTTTACTTTAAAGACACAGCTTTACGTTCAAACATCAACACCTGTTCTTTATTTAAAATTATAAGACAGACGTTCATGACACTTGGAAAGCAGTTTGAAAGCTTGATTCAACAGAAAAAAAGAAATAAATTATTTGGATGATGTCACATATTTTGAAGTTATTATGAAATCAGTTTTCTGCTTGTGTCATAAATAATTAAAATGATATATTCCCAAAGGAACCGGAAAATCGTTAAGAAATTACAAAAGTAAAGATCAAATATTTGCTCAAACTGCTGAGAAAGGAATAAGCCACATGCTGAGAGTTTATGAGGACTATGATGCATGTTTGCCTAATACAAGAAATAAAGTAATTGATGTCCTGGTACAAAAAAAGTTAATTTGAATCAAGAGATAAACAAACCTTGATTGGTCGGTGCATATTGGGCTGTTTGAAGCGCAGCACGATCTGCCCGGCGACAGTGACTCCATAGAAGAGGTAGTTGATGAAGCCCACGTAGTTGATGAGAGTGTACATGTCGCTGGTGCACAGCATGAGCAGGGTGGACAGGCACTGAGGAGGAGGAAGAAGAAGAGGACGCTCAGAGACGGAGTTTGATGACGTGAATAAAAATGGACGTGTCTGAGGGAGAAATACTCACAGTGAAGAGAAGAGCAGGGATGGGCGTGCAGCGTTTGACGTGAATCATGGCCAGCAGACTGGGCAGGTGGCCCTCTCTGGCTCCAGCAAAGAACAATCTGCGGGAGGACATTCAGTTAAAGCTTGCATATGATTTCATTGATTTCTAATGGTTATTAATAATCTTAACTTTTACTAGAGGCATTCCCATTTAGATACTCCCAGTATACTAAGAATTCCACAAAACACTGTTATGACCGAGGAAGTCAGTGGATTGCTCCAATTCAGGGATGTTGCGATCAAGTGCGGCACCTTTTGGACTGTTCCAACAACTGTGACACTGAACATGTTGTGTTCTTTCAAACAGGCCAATGAACATGAACTCTGAACCTCAACTTTTTTTTGTAAAATAAATATTTTCCAAGTAGAGCATCAGAAAATGAAATCAGTATTATAAGTGACTAACAGCTTGTTGGGTGTATTTGAGTTTGATTTCTTTCTGGTTGGTAGGAAAACTCTTAAAACAGACCTGTAAAGGCATTTTCACTTATCTAGTTGCACAACTTACCGTGAGGAGGTGAAGAGGGAACCGTTGACTCCTCCGAAGGTGGAGAGAGCCACAGAGATGGGCATGATCCACGACATGACTCCGAGCAGCTTCTGACCAAACGTCTGGGGGTGGAGGAGATATGAGAGGGCGGACGATAGGTTAGACTTCACAAGAGCATTGACCGATGTGGTCAC